ACTGTCCCATAATGAAACCCGTTAGTTTATTAATATGGCGTCAAATAAAATTTTTCTATTGAAAGTCACCCTAAGGACCCCAATATCTTATCTTATCGATCGATATTAATAAATAAATTATTCTTTTTACAAATTAATTAAGGCATTCTTTTAATTTATTGATATAATGTATAAACGTGGGTCGTAGATGCGATCCCTGAGGTACTTCTAAGATTATTACGGTTAAATTTGATAAAAATTCATTAGCTCCAGCACATTTATAAGGTTAAATACGACTCTATTTTTATATCAAAAACCATTTTGTATTTTTCCAGAAAAAAAATGCTTCTAGAAGCTTTTCGTATTTATTGCGGAAGATTCTGTATATGATATCTTTACATTATCTCCACAGTTACCATGGTATGGGATATCATAAAGGTACAATAACGTGATAAAAAGCGTTTATGTCAGTTAATGGACGCAAAAGCGAAATACCAAGAATATAATTATTGTAGAATACTTTCAGCAACAAGGAAGTCTGAAATGGCGCTACAAAGAAATAAATAGGATTATATGGAATTAAAGGACTTTACAGATTAGAGAGATAACGGCTGCTTTTGTTTATAACGGTTGAAGGGTCAAATAATGTAATTGTGCCTTGAATATTTAAACACGACTGTACTGTACGGAAGGTATTTATAATCAGGATGACCTATAAACGATATGAAGTTCTATAATTTATAAGCAGATTACCACAAAAACAATTATTATATTATTGATATTGGAGTACTGTTTTCAATTATATCACAAGAAACCGAAGGACAGACTTTTATTATTCTCGTAACTGCATGGTAACTATCACTCAAATAAAGAATACAAATATGCAATAATGTAACTCAATACCTCAACAAACAGTCGCCGTCATCAGGATTTTAACTTACCATTCATATGTGAGAACCTGGATTAAATTATTATACGAAGTAACTTTTCCATGAATTTGCGTGTAGAAGGTAATTGATTAAGTACCATAAGTTCTATTTTCCATTATTACATTCGAAGTAGTCTCTTTGGACTTCTATACAGAAAATTTTCTATGATTGAATTGAAATGCTTTTAGAGTTAACACATTTATAATACGTTTGTGAAGAGAAAAAAATCCTAGAAGTCGCTATTTGTTGAAAATTGTCCCACTATGAACGAAATGTAGGTATGCGGGTTCATTTTCGTAGAACTAATTTTGCGGTACCAAATCTTTGTTGATGATTTTAACATTTGAGGTGTCATGTAAAAAGAGTTTATTCCACCTCATGAGATTGTTGATGCAAAGGTGTACTGTGACGTTTTATAACAATTTATAGAAAATGTGTGGTAAATGTTATCTAAAATAAGAATAAATAATGAATTGATGTTGCACAATGATAATGAACCTACACACACCCCACCCGTAATGAGACAGTTTTTAAAAAACAAACATGATCAGAGATTTCCGGAGTTTGTACGATAGATCTTGGCATTTGTGATTTCTTCCTCTTCTTCAAAATGAAACTCAAATTAAAGGAACGTCGTTTTGACTCTATTCAAGGAAAAAGAGAAATGTTTTTAATTTACATTAAAACCCACTTAAAATAAATACATAATTTAATAAAAACAAACATTTTACATTATTTTTTAAATAATTATTATATAATATGATTATAGGCATTTTTTTTGTAATTTTGCGAGTTTGAAACATAATATTTTATAATTTATGTTGAAATGAAATATATTGACTTAATTCATAGAAATATCAAACTATTTAATCAAACTTCTGATTGCTTGTCTTCTTAAATTAAGTTTTTTAGTCCTTTTGAAACGCTGAAGAAAATTATATTTTCACTTTCAAAGTAGAGCTTACTTTTGTGAACTAATACAGGATTGTGTCTCGGAGTTTATTTAGTCATTCCGGAGAAATATATTTTTTCTTTGTCCTTTATTCCTTGTTAATCCGTCTTTTATATAGTCTCGAAACCATTATGTACTATTTATTACATTTAATAAAATGAATGGACAAAAGTTTATTTAGCCTGCACTGACCAGAGGTTTCTTTAACGAAACATACTGACAAGACAATGTGGTTGAATGAACTATTTTGTAAAAGAAATATGTGATCTGCTACTAGTATAGTAATAAATCATAGAAAGTGTTATTATTGAATGCTTTTTACTATTTTAACTTAGAGTAATACATAATTCGGTGTAACATCTTTAAGAAAATCGCTATTTAACTTTTTATATTTCTTCAATAATAGAATGAATTGTTCCAATCACAAATGTCCAAATATTTAGTTTTTATGGAGACACCATGCAACGAGATACTACATAGATACTATTTATAGTAGTAATTTACTAGTATGCGAAATTTAAGGATTCATAATAAATTATTTATTAAAACAAAAAGTCAAATTCTGTTTTGTCATGTCACATTCTGCAGTTTTCTCAAAAACGGTGCATCCCATCTACTCTTTTAGAAAGCACTATTATTTTTCCGGAAATTTCACTGGTGGTGAAGTACCGCTCAAAAAAATTATGCGACGTCTGAATTTGTCTGAATTATCGCTATACTCTTATTCAAATCTTACAGATTTATAATCGAAGACGTGATCGTTCTTTGCTTGTGAAGTATTTTACATTTTTTTAACACCTTGTATACAGTCTGACAGGATCAATGACTTTCAAGATTTTGTTCAATTTTGTGAAAATATATTAATTTCTATATTTGATGGTTTTATAAGAATTTTTTATTTAGCACCATCCTGATCACAGTCTTGGTTAGGACACAATATTAATAGGATATATAAATTCCTACACACTACAAATAAATAATCGGATGTAAAAATATATTTTAATTTTTTGGAATGGTCGGAATTGCTTTTAACAGTGAATATATTTTATTCGAAAACACTGTCTGATATTATTAACTGATTTTAAATTAACTCTGGTATAAAAATGTACAATTGAGACTAATTCTATAAACATATTCGATCTATTTATTTATACAGGGTGTTACTTAATTCGCGGACACGGACTGTGGGATCATGTTAAGCTAGATAAGGTTATAAAAAAATGTCTCTATCATTTTACGGCCGTTTTAAATATCCAAAAATAATAAAAATTTTCAATTTTTAATCATTTAATAAACAATTATAACAAATGAATTGTTCAAAATTTTCGTCATCTGCTGCTAAACATGCTTCAGCACGTTGTGCTACTGCTTGAACGGAGTTGCGTACCATTTATTCTGGCGTGATTTATTGTTTTGTTGGAAATAGATGACTGTAGTGTGTGTCTATAATGTGATATGATTTTTATGCACGATACATAATTACCTAAATAATACTTTCCCTGGATGTTGGCTTGGCAGAGGTAGTCCATTTGCTTGGCCACTTTGTTCTCCAGACCTAACGCCATGTGATTTTTTCTTTTGGGGCTTCCTAAAAACGTTGGTGTATAGAACACCAGTGCAAATTTGAATGAATTGCAGAACCGCCTATTTCAATCAATACAGCAAATAACACCAGAGATGATACGCAACTTCGTTCAAGCAGTAGCACAACGTATTGAAGCATGTTTAACAGCAGATGGTGAAAATTTTGAACAATTGTTGTAACTCGTTTGTCGTAATTATTTATTTAATGATTGAAAATTGAAATTTATAGACATATATTTTTATTATTTTTGTCTATTTGATACTGCTATATCTCAAAAATACTGATCTGAATGAAAAATCATAAAGACACTTTTTTATCACCTTATTTAGCTTATTATGATCCCACAGTCCGTGTCCGCGAATTTCGTTACACCTTATATATTATATTTACTAATTTTTCTTCTATGCGGATAATTCAGACTTATCCTCACGTGACTATTATTTTTCGAGATGCTAAATCGGGGAGGAAGGCTAGAGATATCGGTCTTTGACATACCTGTATTACCAGTAAGTGTCATAACTATCTTTAAATGGTTCTTTTCCACGTAATTTAAGTGTATTCAAAGATTTATTTAATTGTTAAGATTTAGAAAAACATTCCGCTTAATTTATGACCATAGTCTGTTAAATAGTATTCGATTTTTCCCGCTGTAGATTTTGCTCTTTCGTTTGTCTCAGCGCAAGATAAAAATTTGTTGGCTTGGATTCCGTTGAATATAATGAAATTATCAGTATAGAAAGTATTGCTTTAAATGAATTAAGTACTTTTGTCTTATAATTGATTAAAACGATTACCTAATATCAATTACGAAAATTACGAAAAATTTAGGTAGACCTAGTCATGGTGTATTAAACTCATTTTGAATGAGCAATATTCTTGTTATTAATTTCTTTATTATACTTGTATAGATGCAGTTTATATTTAGAATTAAGAGAAATATTTTTGTATGCTGTCCATTAATTGACAAGAAGCATCAAAATTAAGAATTATTTGATTTACATATTTCTTCTAATTTTTAAATCCAAAGGTCACATACATAATCACTGGAGTATTTAAATATGTCATAGGTGGTGGTGAAATTCCCAAGTACATGAAAATCAAATATAGAAATTCCTCTCTTCTACTAAATTTTATACTAAATTAATTTCAAAATTATACGATATCACTTTTCAAATTGTCACAGCTTTGAAAGCTTTTTAATTACATTTTTCATAGTTATTAAGCATTGAGCTCTTAAACTGTCAATATTCCTTAACAGCTTGCTGCTAATATGTTTTTTTTTTTCTACCAAAGTAGCGTTCGGTATTATTATCTCGATATGTTTTGTTCTTTTTTAATTACAACAAATGAAAATATAAATTATTATATATTATACATACCAATAAGTATATCTAAAGTATCTAGATGTTAATACCAAACGCTATTCAAGAAGAACTAAACGACCTACATTAGGAAAATTGTAATTATAAAGAAACAATTCTAATTTTATTTAACTCGCCCTAAGAATTAGTTTAAATGCACTTATTAATAGCTAACAAACACGTTTATTTTGTAGATATAGCAAGGGACGACAAGGAAGCGGAAGCGGACTGTCTGGCTTTAAGTTGTTAGCAGTGACAATGAAGCAACTTGCAAATCCTTATCAAATATTGATATTACCTATAACAATGTTTATTGGGGCTGAACAAGCATTTATAGCAGCAGATTACACAGCCGTAAGTTTCATAATAGCAAGACAAGCTAACTACAATTTGAGTATACCGCAGGGTGACTTAATATACATATTGCACACCCTTAAATAGAATGTCGTCTATCGATGGCATGTTTATATTTCAATTTTTATTTTAAGTACCTCCACTGTTTTTATAAATCAAATTGGAATACTACATGTGGGTACATACTCGTATGTATGTATGTTCATATCCATACTTACTATTAATTGTATAAGTTTTCTCAACAATTATGTTTTAAATATTTTTTATTACAAAATAGTGTAGGCGGAAAATATATGTTTCGTTTAATTTGATTAAAATAAAATATAAAAATGATAATGTGTATCTGAATCTATACATTTTATATTGAATAGTCAATTTTGTTGTGCCTATAAACTGAATTTGTAGCATAATTTTCGTTTCTTTCTTTATTTATTGCCGACCTGCGAACAAAATTTAAAAAAAAAATAAAATCACTCAGAGGTGGCAAAATATTTGATCTACCTTTAAGTAATCAGCAAATATATCGCATAAAAAGAAGATTTATTTTGAGTAGAGAATGATGCAATATAACTACATTTTAGACACAATATCTGTTTATCAAAGTAGGTAAGCTTTAAATTCAATGGGAAATTGAAAATAATAGAGAGGTTTGAGAAAAATCCTCCAAACATGGGACAACATTCTAATTGATTTTTTTTTCATCTTGGGACACCCAGAATATCTGAAAAATAATTACAAAAGGCTTACCTCAACAAAATTAATTAGGAAAATCTATTGCTAGTGAAAAATTTAGTAAATTCTTTTTTTCTGTTCTAAATACTTTTTTTAAAACTTTTTATTTAAAGAACACGTTTTAATTTGAATATGTATATGAATTTCCAATGCATATTTAGTTTTACAAAATTTAAATTATATCACTAATTCTGATTTATCCAGTTTAAACTGCTTTATTACCGTATACACTTTGTTTATCAAAATTGTAGAAGCTTTGATTGATTGATGATAATAATAGCAATGCCATTACTGCCGACTATGATGATGAATAACCGTTTTGTGCTTTCAGTCCTTTGTATCGTGCGGCTGGGGTATCGGCAACATCGGATTCGTGATGATATGTTTTGGTGTCTGCAACGGTATCGCTTCGATCTTTGCCGGAAGTATAGTGAAACTGACAGGAAGAAACCCGGTTATCTGCTTCGCTTTGGCGCTTCATGTGGGCCTGCTAGCCGCATTGTTGCTGTGGAGGCCGTATGCAGAAAACAAAATGATATTTTTCATAATATCTGGTCTGTGGGGTATCTGCGATGCACTGTGGCTCGTTCAAATTAATTGTGAGTATACACTGTGATTTAAATTTACATTTGAATGAACTCGTCTCTATGATAACCGGAAAAATGATACAATTGACGGAAACAAACAAACAATAGACGTACAAATTCCTGACCGTCATTTTTTAACATAACAGCTAAAACGATAAAATATAAATGCATTCATACATCATAAAAATCTACAACTCTTTTTAAACTAATAGTTAGGTAGAAAGAACGATACAATACATGGTTTATTACAACGAATTGACGCGGCATTCCCGATCACGTAATTAAACATTTTTTGAAAGACTAAAAGGCTTCAGCTTTTGAAACTCGTAGGGAGTCCAAGTATTTTTATTTCAAGGGATAATTTAAAATGACATAGAAAATGTCAAAAACTGCATACATATGATAAATACAAGAGGTTGGTATGTAAATATAAAACCTTCAAGTTAATAATATTAACATCGACAAACAAAAAACCGTTAGGTCATACACATCGTACGTATACTACTTGTGAGAATTTGAAGAGTTTTTTTACAAACCATGTTAACAGATTTCATAGACAGATAAGGTATAGAAAATTTTTATTTTCATATCGTAAATATCACGGTTGCATAATTTACTTTTGTCTAAAGACTGATGTAAGTAAATCCACAATCCATTATTAATAATTTCAATTTATTAGACAAATTACCAGAGGATGAACAGTAAAGAGAACTATTAATACATGATTTTTTTTGACAAAAATATGTATTATAAATAAGGAGACAGAAGTTGTTGTAATCTAAGTGTTGGTAACAATTAGCACATGTAAAACAATGACTCTTGAATAATAAAATAGAATCAAAAATTACTCCAAGGTGTTTTGAATTATAGTTAGTCATATAAGAGTTTAATACTATCCAATAGATCGTTTGGTATAATCACACATTGGGACTAGTTCGGTCTAGCGACTTGTCATTTATTTCATTGATATGAAAAGTCAAGCAACGCTGATCGCAGTTAGTACTTGAATGGGTGACCATCCGAGAAGGCTCGCGATGCTCGTCCACTGTATGTTGGCGTATTCACAGAAGCTATACAAATTTTACTCGAGGTTTGTATAGGAAGACATAACATCCCTAGGAAGGAAAGTTGCTCGCCACCTGGCAGCGGTGTTTAGCTATAGTAGCAGAAATAAACCGACGTAAAATAACTAAAACGGTAACAGCTAAGCTAATTATACATAGTTTCTCCAATCGAAAAGAAACTTAATTTGCAAGGAAATCTTCCGCCAAAAAGACGCGCCCAGGTCTTGCGAGACATTTTGAACACCTGTTTAAAACAGATTAGTGTTACAGCAACGCAAGCTGCTTTGTGATGTTCTGAGGAATAGAAATGTTGCTGAGAGGTATTTGTATCTTTTTACCATTGTAACAAACACAGTAACAAAGAATTTGTATGGAATTTTTGTCTTTGTGTAGAGTAACTTTCAGTTCGTGTTAGTGCTTAACCCGACTGAGGTGCTTGTTAGATATTCATAACTATTCTGTGATATTTTTAATATTGCTTCTACTTGGTATGCCGACTTTTTATAAACTATTTATAAGAAGCCTGATCTGTCGCTGATCAAATTCACCTGACCATTCTTTCATTGATTAATAATCAATCAATGAATAATTAAATTGTCAATTAAATAGCATAGTGGTGTCCCACTGGTTCTGGCCCCATATATTGCCTGCTTGGGCTCCAGGACGGTAAAAAAGTGATTCTATGTGATAATATTCGTGTAAAAGCCACATAATATCTTCTTGTCGTTCATAAGTAGAGATCAAACAGATTTGCCTATATACCTGCTATATGCTTAATACCTGCCCCTGAGTCTATTTTGGAACCTAAAATCAGAGGAAGTCACTGCAGCCCATCTGTAATAGCTATGTGCAACTGTTCTGTTATGCTGCCACTAGACCTCCATAGAACAGCTGCATAATCATAATAATAATAAAGGCCCAAAATAGCTTCTAAATTAAACCAGAAAGCTATAGGTATGCTTTTTGTAGTTATATGTACAGGGTGATTCACTATATTTTGACCCCCCTTTAACTTTTTTGTTTTAATAGTTATAAAAAAATGTGAAATACAAAAGTTGCACGATTTTTTATGAAGCTTTCGAAAATGATAGTAGAAAAACAAATGAAGTTCCAACAAAATGGCCGCGGATGTTAACTTTGTTAATTTAAATGGAACACCCTGTATATTTTTACATATTCGGATAGAACGTTCTTTATCGAGCATAGCCATATAGGGTTTGTTGGGTCCATCTCTAACAATAAGTGAGATAATATTAAAAAACGAAAATATGTTTTTTTATTAAGAAAATAAGACATCTTGTAATTGTTACACCTCTTTCAGGCATTTATGCCTTTTTTCCAATTACGTAAGCATTTAGATTTAGTTGTAATATATTTTGACATATCGGACATTGATATAGTCCAAAATGCGTATAGGTATTTTAACTAAATCTCACTAATTAGACCGTGTGAGGCCAATTACTCATGGACAATGTTATATGGTAGGTCGTGACAGGTAGTAATGTCATGATAACATTGTTATTGTTTGACAGTTTGTATTATTAGGATATCTTAACTACTAACTAACTCTTAATAACTCTTACTACTCGACTCTACTTACTTACTTACTTACTTACTTACTACTCTAACTCTTAACTACTCTATTTTAATTCCTATAATATTTAAATTTTCTACTTCTGTGTGACCCATTTTAATTAAATAATAATACAAACTGTCAAACAATAACAATGTTGTCATAACTACCATATAACACTGTCCATGAGTAAATAGGCCTCTCACGGTCTAATTAGTGAGATTTACTTAAAATACTTATACCCATTTTGGACTATATCAATGTTCGATATGTCAAAATATATTACAAATAAACCTAAATCCTTACGTAATTGGAGAAAAGGCAGAAATGCCTGAAAGATGTCCAACAATTACAAAATATCTTATTTTCTTAATAAAAAAAACCTTCTTTTCCTTTTTTTAATATTATCTCGCTTATTGTTAGAGATAGACCCAATAAACCATATATGACTGTGCTCGACAGGGAACGTTCTATCCAAATATGTAAAAATATACAGGGTGTTCCATTTAAATTAACAAAGTTAACATCCGCGGCCATTTTGTTTGAACTTCATTTGTTTTTCTACTATCATTTTCGAAAACTTAATAAAATATCGTGCAACTTTTGTATTTCACATTTTTTTATAACTCTTAAAACAAAAAAGTTAAAGGGGGGGTCAAAATATAGTGAATCACCCTGTACCCAGTATACCTGTAATGAAGTACCCAACTCAATTTGCAGTTGCTGTCCAGAGTAATCCCAAAAATATTACAATTCGTTATATTTGATACTATTGAAGCTGCCTGAAATCTACTATTCCGTTTTCTGATAAAGAAGTCAATGTCGATTTTTTGTAGGTTGTTTTTTGGGCCTTTGTCACCACCACGCCATTTTTCTACTTTAGAATATTTAAAAAGCGCACATTGGAGGAAGCACTGAAGCCTTTCATGTAAATGAATTCTTTTAGTTTATAGGCCGTAACTTTGCTTCTAATGATGATCTGACTTTGACTTCTTGAATAATTGTCACAAATATTTTTTGGTAAACATTAATTAAGGGGAAAACTTTTTAGAATATATTTCAGATACTTTTTTTAGCAGAAAGTTAATAACTTACTGAGCTATTGTATTATTTGTGAGATTGTCTACATTCTTTAAAAGTTGTAAATTAAGAAATATTTGATACTAGAAAGGTATTAAACGTGTATATTAAAGTTTAAATAAAAACGATAAAAGGAAAATATAAATTCATTAATTAATTACAATAGAAAATATTTTTCTCTTCATATTCTAGAAATATATTATATGCTTTGTATTAAAAATATTAATTATATTTAATACTAATTATTATACAGGGTGATTCAGAACTTATCCAAAAAAATTTGGGAATAAATGCGGCATGAGAAATGGAGTCAATATCGTAAAAAAAAATTTTTATAAAATCCTTATAGTTTCCGAGAAAAAAATTATTGAAGTTATAGTACTTTCAACGACTACATAGCTGGACAACTGTAGTCTCTAGCGTCATTTGCAATGCGCGTGGAGAGCCACGTGGCCTCAGCGACTCCGAATTCTGAAATCGTAGTTTGCAATCGTCGTTGCAACAGTATTTACCTGTGGTGTTTACAATATTTTTTTAATAGTTAGTGTCAAAAATGGGTAGTTAGTGTCAAAAATGGTTTGCGTATATAGCAACTCGGAGTTGATGGATATCGTTTTAATTTATGGTGAAGCATTTGTGTTATGGTGAAGCAAGACAACATTTGTGTTAGTTCGTAGAAACTGAGTAAGACGGACCTAAATGTCTTTACACGTTGGTGGATTTTGAACAATTGTTGTAAAATCGGGTATGTCAAATAATGATTTTATTATTTAAAAACACAAATTAATTGTATTAATTAATAAAGGCAAAAGCAGTTGAATTTGCCGATATAAAATAGGTGCGATAAAATTATATTTACATATTTCTTTCCTTGCGAAAGTTTTTGTCCGTTTTTATCACACCGCCATGCCGGTCGCATTGTGCGAGGTCAGGTTTTACAGTGGACCAGTTTCCAGTGCCGTGCAGAAGTGTATTTTTAAATCATTTTCGAACTGCCCTTTTTGATTTTTTCTTTACAAAATTGTATTTGTAAGGGTCCCCTGTACATCTAGAACTTTTTTTTTGGATAAGTTCTGAATCACCCTGTATATTGAATAATAATAATTATTATAATTACAATTAATATTAATATTAGACTTCAGGCCTTATACATATTATAATTCATTTTACAATAAATGATTATGTTGAAATTAATGAAAGTTAAATGAGCGTTAACATTTCTGTGACCTAAAAGACAATAATCAAATTAGAGGGGTTCATAATGATAATATATCAGGAGATTTGAAGCCAGACGG